TCGGAATGAACACATCTGCTTTCGACGAAACCTCGTTCGCGGAATTTTCTCAATCTGGAAGCTTTCCAGGTGCGTCTCAGTCAGAGTCGCAGCATCACGTCGTGGAAGACCATTTCGCCGCTGTGATTGACGATTGTAGGAAAGGTGACGGCTCCTCGAGCAGTTCCGTGGATTCTTTCGTTCGTTGTGATCATCTCTTCAATTTAACGAAGAACAAGGATACCTGCAGTATTTCGGATCGGTAAGCTTGTGTAACTGAAGGCAAGTTCTCAGACTGAACTTGGTGTTTCCTTTGTTTATAGTTCCGAGAAACTCGCGCAAAGTATTGGACAGCTTTCTACCGATGATGGTGATATGTGTACATCTTCTGACATTGAGATAATAAGCAGGTAAGCTGTGTTTTTGTGGCATATCCCATTAGTGTTTTAGGGATTTGCTACTTGCTATGTTGCTCGAGTTCGTGGACTTTTGTCGAAGTCAGCGAAGTTCTGACGCGAAATTTGAGAATGTGTTCAAAATTTTTAAATTGAATCGATGTGGCGTGTTAAATCAAGAGTAGCTATACTCTTGATCTTTTTTCCTTCAAGTTTACTCGATTAGGCGCTCCGTTGTTCAATATCTTCAGTTTTGAAAGTGTCTTCACGATTTGAGAGAAAATTTGTTTCATCTTCGAGATATTTCCTTTTCTTGAATTAGTGTACGGAAATCCTATTGAGTAATATAGAGGTGGAATCTCTCTGCAACGATCTCGTCAACAAAAATGTTCGCTTCCTAAAGAATTCATTTTTTTTGTCACATTGGGTTCTCCAGCAATGCCATATAGTTTCCTTACCGCAAATATTTTTCTGGCCCTTTGAATTCCCTCTCAAAAAGTTACCGTGTATCAGTTTAACTTGAATATTTGCAGTCCGAACGGAGACCATTCGAATGGAAGCGAAGCTGGCTCGTCCAAGTTTCTGTCTTCGGCGCAGCATTCCCATGCCGAACCTGCCTTTTCGGTTTACTCTCCTTCTGGTCGACGTGGCTCGAGGAGCAGTTCCATTTCGCTCATATCCGATTGCCACTCTCCTCCAGTTGCTTCCGGACTAGTCACGAGCAGTGCATGTACTGCTCCTTTGAAACCGCATCCCATTCCTCAAAGTTTCACCAAGGCTGGAAGCCATGAAGGTTGTAAAATTTTCAGATGAATTCATTTTTACGACGAATTTCAGGAGCGTTTTTGACGGTGCCGCTTCAGTATATCGTACAGTATTTCCTTGAGTGCCACGCGTCCTTGGTTTTTTTCATTGAAAAATGTTGAATATTGGATCCCCGAGTGAGACACGCACCCCATTTTAGTGAATTTACGAGGCAATATTTTTAAAAGAAGAACGCCCGAATTTGAATTTATGCATGAATCGAATCTGACTTCAACGAAATTTAAAATTCTTCCATAACATCAAGTTTTTCCATGGAAATTGGTCCGAAATCTCCTAGTAAAATAAAATGTATCGTAGACCGCCTATGAAGTGCATTCCCTTTTCCCCTAAAGAAAAAGTTTCGTGTAGTACTCCAGTGAATATGGTTCAATATCCTGCATTTGCGCATTTACTAAGTATTGCTGAACGAGAATTGTTTCCTCATAGTCGAGTTCATCATCTTGCATCAAGTAGCTTTTATTCCATGTGCGTATTCAGCATACTGTATTTTGATTTTGGAAATGGCCGATTTCCTGATGTAATTGTTCGAATTTTATGGGAAATAGTATTCTGTGTCCTGTTTGTGTCTGAATTTTAAAATTTGAAGAATGCTTTCTCAGTTGTTCGATTTGGGGGTCATTCAGTTTTTTGGGACTCACGCAAGAGAAATAAAATCCATTTGGTTGAGTTTTTTT